ATGTGCTTTCTAAATAACAAAATCTTCATTTGTCATTCGTGACTTTAGATTAAAGTGGATCAGACTTCCCAAAAGGAGATTACTGTTAAACTTCTCCAACTTGGGTACCTGGCACCTAAATCTTGCTTGAGGCACTGAAATAACAGGCTTGGTTTTGAAAGATGCTGAGCCAGGTCAGGCTCTGCATTTAAATCACTTAAGCACTCTTAGAATCTGGCTCTTCATTTTGATGCCCAGATATGGATTTCTGGGCTTAATCACTGACCTTTGCATTTCAAATGTTTGGCCTTTGTTTTCTTTACTAAGCATGCAGACAGAGCGGCCCCCAAATTATTATTTTTCCTTTTACACAGCTGAAAAGAGCTAGCAGAGGAGACGTGAAGATCTGCGTCTTATTATGAAGAAATAGGGATCTTTTAAAGATACCATTTTATGTAACTCAAGGGAAACTTGCAAAAAGGGGAATATTGACTTATTTTCATTCACGTGAACATGATCCGTCATATATCTAAAACCCACAATCAGTTGGAAAAAAACCCACCCAAACTACCCTAAACCTTTGCCCTCTCTTAATCCGTGTACAAGAGGGTTTTTTTTTTTAAATGTGCTTTTTCCACCCTCTGAAATAGAGGCAATTGATAGCCTCATAAACAAATACCAAACATTAAGTCCTAATCTCCATATAGAGGAGCCTGACCCTTTTTATGGAGAGAGAGGGTAGAGGGAGGAAACGGGGCCAGGAGTTTGAGGTTTAATGCTTATTAAAGTTTTAGTGGGTGGGAAAATGCGATCAATAAATTTTGTTTAATGCCTCGAAACTGGTGTTAGTTTTCACTAGCTACACTGGAGAGTAGTTTTCATTTTGAAACTAGGACACTCGTAGTTGGAATGACAATTAATGTGGAGTGAATATGGTCCCAGTTGGAAGCCGATTTTTTGAATAGCATGAGAACTCCCCCCACCTCCCCGCCTTGGCTCCGGAGTGGGGTAGCTTCCGTTTTTAATTAGCAAACCAGGCAAAATTTAGCTCATTGTGTCTTTCTGCTCCTTTGGCCCAGTGGATAGCTTGGATTTCTCCATCTTGCTGTCATGAGGCTGTTCTTTTTATTTTTTTTCTTCGGTTTTGGTGTGGGGAGGAAGGGGGGGGCTTCAGGATACTTAGGATTAAAGTCATTGTTCGGGGGTATTTGCAGCCAGCTGCCTGCATTAAATGAAGATTAGAGGAGCGCACATTAAAAGTGCAAAGGAAATGCAGAGGAGCTGGGATTTGGGAGCTGCATAGCTGTGAACCGAAGGGGAAAGGTTGAGGCTTTATAGCAAATTTTTTCTGATGCCATGTGATCTCAAAGCCCACTTCAGAAAAGCATCGCAAGTCACTGCCAGGACCAGGTCTGGCTGGGAATTGTAAAGGGACCGTGAGTCTTTGTGTCACTAAAAAGTTCCTCTGAGGTAAATCTAAACTTTTGGGCCTGGTGACCTTACGTATTGTTTAAAAAATTCATCCGCAAGAGCAGTTAAGAGGTGGTGAATGTTTTGCTAGAATTCACTAAATAGCTGAAAACCCACCCTGGAGGTCGAGAACTCCAAAAGTAATGAATTTTTGAAGCATTTTAGGAAGGAAATGAGGGTGTAGAGGAGGAGCCCAGAAAAAATAACTCAAAAGAATTATTCAGCAACGCATGCTTACTCTTTTAAGGATTTAATAGGACAGTTAAAAAATATTCCAAAGATTGAGTTTTTCTCCTTTCTTTATGCTTTGTGGAGCACTCATTTGTGTAATCTGTAGTTCTTGTTGCAAGCTTTGCTAATTTCTTGGTGTGTGTCACCTACAAAACCCCACCAGGTAGCCTGGTCCAGCAAAGGAGGAGGGATGGCATGGAGCACTGACGCTGAAGAACATAGGTTCGCTCAGG